ACCATCCATGACCTTCTCCCTCTCTCGTCGCTTTGCCGGAGCTATTCTCCTCAGAGGGATCTTTATTGGACGGTGATTACCTGTGTTTATTCTGTGCTCCACAAGGTCTGTGCAGCCGAGGTCATGATATCCTTTCGAAGAGACGTCTGCATAATTCGCCAAAAGCTCTTTTACCTGAAGAGCCTGTGATGATACCAAATGGACTATGCTCTTCTTATAGAGGTTAGTTAAATGTTCTGGAAGTGTATGTCCTTTCTTTATAGTTGTATTTCTTGATTTAACATTGACTGGCTCTACGTCCTGGCACACACCCAACAATGCCCCTTCCTTAAGTGTCTGCTCACATTTAGAGAAACTGGCCACTGTTATAGATACTACTTGATGACCTGCCACAAGTGACCTTCCAGTCTTCAAATCCGCTGGCCTGGATGGGTCCTACCCCAAATTATCTTCTCTGACATAGGGGGTATTGTAGTTGACTTAAGTGTTGTGACATGCAGATCAACGGATGCAGCAACACTTACTGGAATCTGGCCTTTGTTGTTTCCAAATGTCATTTTATCGAAGTTAACTACACACTTCCTCAGTAGTAAATAGTCCAATCCTAATATGCATGGGTCTTCAATGTCAGCCAAGTATACTTTGTGTCTGTCCTTTATGCCCATGAGCTCAATAGTTACCCACACTAGTCCCAACAACCTTGCATAATGTCCTGCCACACCACAAAGTTTCTGTATGGCTTCTGGGACTCCTTTGTGATCCAGCACCTTGATACTCATAAGGGTTTGCAGAGATGCAGAATCTATGACAAAGTTGCATTTTTGGCCATCCAGCTTTCCTGTCACGTAGACACTATATGTACTTGTCATTTTGCACGTAACTGTTGGGACTTTCACAACGGGGGTTGGTGGGCATCCCTCAGCACCAACCACTACTGGTTTCCCGAAGCTGACTTATTGGTGTTCTTCTTACACTGGCTCCTCATATGTCCTTGCTCTCCACAGTTCCAACAAGCTTTCTGGGTAGCTGCCTTTCCTGCCGTGGCATCTTCCCTGTGTTGAAGTTTCCAGCATTGAGCTTTCTTGTGCCCAGGTTTGTTACAGTGCCAGCAAAGTCCCTCGAACCTCTCTGAAAGCTGACCTTTTCTGGCCTTTAATCCAAGTTCAAGATCTCTGGCTATTGCATCCGGCATAGTAGAGAGGTGTGCTTGCTTTATTTGTATCTTTAGTTGTGGACTGTCCAAGGCATCTACAAACTGATCCCTCAGCAACAACTTGAGGAGATTGGGTGGCGCAGTTGGGTAGGCCTTGTGTGCCATACTTTCCAAGTCCTGTGCCAGCTCTTGCAGGCTCTCCCCTTTAGCACGGACTCTCGTCCTAAACCTAGCCCTGTAGACTTCATACTGATTTTGGGTTCCATACCTGAGTTCTAGAGCCGCTATCAGTGCTCTATAGTTGTGTCTGTCGTCTGCTGACAACTTTCCAAGTATTTCCATTGGTTGTCCCTTCGAGCTCTTTGCCAGATATACTGATTTCTGCTTCTCTGTCCATCCATTCATCTCTGCCAGGAGATCAAATTATGCTCTATATGCTTCCCACGGTACCTTCCCATCGAATTCCTGTGGCTTCCTTCATACTAGATCACCCATATTGGTGACATTCATATCTGGGATGTGACTTCTAACAGGACTGAAGATGTCTGCATTAGGGTTTAGCTGCGGGGTCTGGACGGGGCTTGCCATTGTCTGGGGCTGAATAAGTCGATGGTTAATGTATCCTCCTTGTGTAAAAGACAATAAATCATCCTTTAATGTATTTATTTCGCTTTGAAATTTACTAATGTTTTCCATTTGTGTACTGTGGCTTTCTCTCAATTGCTGGAGACTTTCTTCTTGTTTATTTTCTTGTTTTTTTCTTTTTCCTCCGACAACTGCTGTAATATCTCTTCTTGCTTCTTTTATTTTTCCTCCAACAACTGCTGTAATCTCTCTTCTTGTTTATTTTCTCTTTCTACTTGTTTCTTTTCTTTTTCCTCCAACAACTGCTGTAATCTCTCTTCTTGTTTATTTTGCTGTTCGAGCTGCCACTGTTGCAGGTTTTTTTACAACTGCTGTTGTCTCTTTTCTTGTTTCTTTTCTTGTTTTTTGTATTGCTGCCATCAAATCTGCTCAACTGTAGTTTGATTTGGCACTTCTCGTTTCCATTTTTTTTCTTTTCTGTCCCACTCTCTGACACCAATTTGTTACGCCTCTGTGTTCATTTGTTAATTTTCCGTAAAAATTCTTTCCGAAGAAACTTTAGCGATACAAGTCCTTTCTTAAATAAAACTAGTTTATTCTTTTTTCAATACAACTTTGCGATACGCTTAATTTCCACTGTCACGCTATAATTGAAACAAACGCTATAATTCACAACGAACGATTCACGCGCTTGACTCAATTGTCCGTCTCTATCTCTGTCCGCTATTCAATTCCATTATTGCCGTCAGTTCTTGGCGGTCTTATATACAAGAATACCGCACATCTAATAAACACTCAAGGCTTCACGAACGGACATGAATTTTCTAGAAGCTCATGACGTGTTACTAGCGTCACATGATTTCCGCTGTCGTAACACTATCTTATGTCAGCAATATATCAAACAGATATGGTTAATATCGTTGTCAGGTTTAGTTGTTAGTATTCAAAGAAACTGTAGAGAGGGTAAGTGAATTCTAATTCATAAGTAATCATAATACAGTGAAATTATACCATAAAATAAGATTAAAGGCGGGATCATAATATATTAAGTTAGTAATCAATTAGTTAAATGTGATAAAACATAAATTAAATAGGTCACGGGAAAATGTCTCAGAAATACGTTGGCTAATTGGATTATAAAGGCGTTTTTAACAGTTAAGTGAAACGCTGATAGTTTAGGTGTATTAATGTTTTTGTATAATAGGTATTTTTTGTTGTTTACGCTTAAAAAAGGGGAGTAAAATATGTTTTGTTATATCAGATGATGTACAGGACTATTGCATTCTATTAACCTCAGAGCAACTTGATACAGTAAAGTATCTTATCTACTCACTCACACTCAAACTAATTGTTAATCTCGTACGAAGCTCAATTGTATAAATGGACTCATAAACCAACAAATTATTCACAACTAGAAACCGTATAAGATACGTTAAGGGCCCCTACCTGCCGCCATAGAAAGAAATAAATAAACTGATGTTAAACCAACAAATTATTCACAACTAGAAACCATATAAGATACGTTAAGGGTCCCTACCTGCCGCCATAAAAAGAAATAAATAAACTGGTGTTAAACCAACAAATTATTCACAACTAGAAACCATATAAGATACGTTAAGGGTCCCTACCTGCCGCCATAAAAAGAAATAAATAAACTGGTGTACGAGGCAATATTTTTCTCTGAAACAGAATTAACTAACCTTTGTGTAATGGTATAGATGATGCCAGAATGATGAAATTAATAATCTTTTCAGAATAAAGTTAGTGAATATTGTACGTTATTTAATTCACTTTAGAACTACTAGTTTTTTTATTACGATAAAAGTTTAAATGTCGATTATAAAGCACTATTTAGACATTCTAGTGTTATTTAGAAATTAATAATATTTTAAAGAATCTGCAAGCATTTTCCATAAAAAATGTTTTTATATTATTTTCACCAGGGAACATATGGACGACATATCCCTTACTTTATCATTGGAGGAACTTGTTTATTTGCATCAGGTGCAGCATCTCTGCTGCCCGAAACCTTACATGCTAAGTTGCCACAAACTATAGAGGATGGAGAAAAGTATGGTCAAAACCAAAAGTACTTCTCTTGCCACAGGTATGTTTTCCAAACTTTGCATTTTATATTTTAGTTTCACTTTTATTTCATTTCAACTTTTTGTCCACTACAACATTTCCAAACCACGTTATAATTTAGTTAAAATCTTTTAAACCTTTTCTTAATTTTCGTAACATCAAGTTTAAAGGAAGTGATCATTAATGGATTAAAAAGTTAAGACAGTTTTCAACGAGGTATTCGAATGTACCTTCTGTAGTTTTAACAATATTATAATGTTGGAGTCTGATAATATAATTTTATGCACTTGTTTAGGATACAGTTAATTATTTCGATAGCTGTATTTTCATATCAACAAAAAAAGTATAATTGTTCAATGACAGTCACATTCAATGACAGTCACATATATAATTTGTATTTTATGGCAAAGCTATTAAGGCTCTTTGCCGCCTTCTCTGATTCTGAACTAATGAGAATAGCAGCACCACCTTAACACACACTATTCACGCTAAAATATTGACTGCAGCTGCTCTTATAACGCATCCACAGCTTAAAGTGCTGGTTGTGGTATCGCTCGGATATGAACTTGCCTCACCAGCTCTGAAATCCACACGGCCAGTCAGCGGCCCTGGTAAATTCAAATAACTTATAATAATTTGTGTCCGAATTTATATTTCACACAAATAATTAGTAAATGCGATTATTACTAAACTATATAGTAAGTATTATTTATTCTTAGTCAGCCACTGACGCATTCTGTCCATTACTAACTCACATTTCTTAAATTTTTTTCATTTCTCACATCAGTTATTTCTAAAATAAACGTACTGAAAAAATGAAGTATTGTTTTAAATTTCTGAAACAATAAGATCGACAAAACGAAAATAAACGGTAAAAATCAAACTGTAATTTGAGTGTATACAAGACAGAGCTAGAATCTACAACTGTAAAAATGGAAAATTCCAATAAGCAGATTAATTAAATGAATTTCTAATAAAACAGTATATCATTCACACTTTTAGTTAAATCGAGGCCCGGCATGGCCAGGTGGTTAGAGCACTCGAGTTGGCGGTGGGTGGTGTTGACTTGCTGCCTTCCCTCTTGTCTTACACTGCTAAATTAGGGACGGCTAGCGCAGATAGCCCTCGTGTAGCTTTGCGCGAAATTCAAAACAAACAAAACAATAAGTCTATTTTATTCAGAAATAAACAATATCCGAATTTCAACTGTCTATACAATATTATTGAACGTATATTCCTACTTCTTAAGAACACATTCGGTGCCTTCAAAAAATATAATCCATTAAGATCCTGCCAGCATTGAAGTACCTAATTTACTCTTTAAACACTTTTCTTTTTTCAATTCCTCTTAGCAAAACCTAAATCCTCTGGCGGCTACCAAATGAAGTTATTAGGTATTAAGCCCACCACGGGTATCGAAATCGGGTTTCTACGTTGTAAGTCACACCGCTGTGCCACTGAGAGGCAGCAGGAGCGGAAATAACTGTGCCACTTTTAACAAAATATGAATAGAAAAAATGATGCTTTTTGTTGTTTAAACTTAATTCTTAGTATCTCACAAATCTTTTCAATAACATATAATTATTAGACGCATATTTTAAAGTATTTACCTCATCTTTATAAGAAAATACGTAGAACGAACTAAAATTTCAATTAACTTGTAAATGCTTTTAAAACTTTTTAAAGATGTTTTTAATGTTCATATGAGCCGTATGTTTTTCATATCACTTTCTAGAATTTGCTAGCTATAGGGGAATATGCTATACTCTCTAAGACAGATCGATCATTTTTATAGGGGGTGATTATCAATTGCTTTAGTTTTCTTCGTTTCTTTGTTTTAGAAATACAATCCACGAACTATGTTAAAAGTCGTTAACAAACAAATTAAACAATGTTTGTAACACTGTGTAACCATACACATTATAATACATCAATACTGAACGTCCTAAAGTTGTATCCTGAAACTACAAGTAATATACCCAACAGACTTTATACATAGTGTTCATTAGCAGTTTTGATTGCCATAATACATATATTTATCATTGAATATATATTTTTATTTATTTTCTTGTACAGCCCTCAAGACGATGATGTAGAAGACGACGTAAAAACTGATTCCGTCGTACAGAAAGAAATAATGGAACTGTTATCGACCGTATAAAAGGTATTGATTTGTTAATAAGCATAAAACTTGGTTATAAACGACCTCAAGTGTGCAAATATATATATTCTCTTTTTTTATTATTCACGAATGTAAAAGGATAAGGGAAAATGGCAACATAAAAAATCCCGTGTGTAGTTCTATGTATAACAGAAAAGTTAAGGCCAATTTTATCAAATACTCCTTGATCATACACACTCATGTGAAAGCATAACAGCAAGGTTAAAGCATACAGATGAAACGAAAGCCACTATTGTTACGAAAACGCCAAACACAAATATCAGATAAAATAACGAAATGCAGATTATAGTCCATCTAAAAATCCTTGAGAATTAAGGGTTAATTAAGGCATCCCAATATCTAACTGAACAGAAAATCGTTTTTATAGATCTGTGTTAGTAGAGTAGCAAAATGCACAAAACAAATTGTCATAATACGTGAAAAATTCTGCGTTTAAAGATTTATATATACGAATGCAAGGAGATTCGATATGGGAAAATTGACAAAACACCAAAACTATTTTTGAACACCATGTACTTAAAATTATATTTCTATATTTCAAAATGATCTGACTCGTCATTTTTGATTTCTTACTATCTTGTTTTCCTTTATCACCTTATATTTTAATACACAAATGTATTTTTGCTCTCAATACAAAGAAGCATGCCCTCGGGGGGGATCAGAGTTAAGTCTGAAGGAATATGATGCAAAAAAAACGGATTTCAATACTTTCCCTGAGTAGAGCATATATAGCCTTTTGTATAGCTTTGTGCTTAACAATAAACAAATAAAAATAAAGAAATGTATATATATATATGATATATATTTCTCGTAATTTACGCTTTTATTTTTAAGTTGAGAATTATCATACAGACTTCAGTGTCTTGGCTGCAACATAGTGGGCTTATAACAGCGCAGATGGCTCATTGTGTAGCTTTGCGTTTAAAGTACAAACAAAGTAACCCTAAAGATGATTCTCTCTACACGCACATTAACAGTCAAAAATTATTTATTAACTAATGAAATATACTTTATTAAATTTAAAATAGTACATTTCATATTTAGTTAGTTACGGGTAGTATTCCGTGAAAACATTGTTCCATTAATATTGTATTAATATGCTAAATATGTTTTACTTTTATATGACACTGAAACTATGAAAGCTGTTTCCTGTTTTCAGTGAATTACACTTGTACAAGCCTTGAGATTCTTATTTTGCTAGTTCTTAAGTCAGTATGAAACTGTTATAAATTTAACCAAATGATTTTTAATTACTATTACTTTGCTTTGTCTTATAAACTTTCATTACACATATAAAGGTCCTACTTTTGTGAGGTAACTTTTTTTGATGAAGTACAAGATGTTTTACTATGTTATTGTGTTTTTAAATTTATGAGGTTATAAGGTTTACATAGGAAAATTCATACATCTTAAACAAAGTTGTGAAAGTCTTGTTATTATAAATACTTGTTGCAAAACGCCAAAAGTTATGATAATGAGGGTTTTATTGCTTTTGTAAAGAAATCTGTAACAAAAGTTATGTATTAGTAGAAAATAAAATATGTACGTATATCAACAAAAATGTATACTGGCTCATTACTAATGTTAAATAATATTACATAACCATATTTAACTGAAATCTGGCCAACACCTCAAAATTGTCTACATCCTGCTTTTACAAAAGGTCCAAACAGGTTAATGGAAGATACCCTCAAAAGTGCGCATGCAAAACAGATTAATGGAAGATATCATTAATAGTGAACATGCAAAACAGGTTAATGGAAGATATCATTAATAGAACATGCAAAACAGGTTAATGGAAGATATCATTGATAGTGTGCATGCAAAACAGGTTAATGGAATATATCATTAATAGTGTGCAAGCAAATAACAGGAATATCATCTATAATTCCTTGATCTTTTAAACAGAAAACTGTTAAAACATAGTAAAATACTCAAACAAGCAATATTGTATAATACACAAAATCTTAATTTAAAGACCAACCAATGGTCATAAAAGACACTACATTTTGATGTTGATTCACGTCATCCTTAAAAGTCTGAAAAACAAATACTGTTAAACCATATCAATACAAAAAGCCATACTACTAGCATACACAATTAAAAAAGATCTCACCATCTACAGTAAAAGTAATTTAATCTTAAATGGATGAAGGGTTAGGAAATCAGAAAGTATGATTTCCTAACCCTTCATCTAAATCATACTTTCTGATTTCCTAACCCTTCATCC